CCCAGCGAGCTGCCGTCACCTCGGCCCCCACCTCCCACCAAGCAGGAACATTTTCTTCCCCCTGGAAGGGACTCTCCTCTGCTGCCCCTGCCAGCTGCTGCCGGACTCTTCTTCAGGCTCCCAGAGGGAAGCCAGAGAAGCAGAGCAAACAGCAACTTTCTGTTTGTTTTTGAGTCTGGGTAAAAGCTGGGGCTGAGTCCAAAAGGTGGGGAGTCAGTAGCTGCCACACATGGCAAACTCCAAAGGAGAGGGAGATTGCAGCATTTACAGGTGGGTTCTGGGACAGGCCTGGAAGAGCAGACCGCAGGGAGACTGCAGGGCTCCTTGCTATAAATCTGGGCTAAATCCTCTCTGTCTGAGTCAAACAGCAAAGATAAGCCAACGCACTGGTCCTGCTTTTCTGATGTCCTTTCCTAGCCCTTCTGATGTAGCCCCTTCCCATCCACTTTTGTGAGCTGGGTGTGGTTTCCTGACTAATACAGCACCTGGCTCCAGTGACATGGAAAAAGAGAATGCATAGGAACCCCTTCTTCCTCCCCCATCCCCAACCCTGCATGAGTCCCCGAGACATGGGACACGACTTCCTTCTCTGGGCCAGCGCCTTCCCCCAGTGACCTCCTCATCCCCCTCCCCATCCCCAGGGAGGAAGGAAAGGCTGCAAGATGCCTACAAGCTTCCAGGAGAGGAAATGGGAGAGGAAGTTCTGGGAGTGGCTGTCCACTGATCCACAGGGCTTTTGTTTTATCTGAGTTACCAGGGATGCACGTATTGGGAGCTTGGAGGGAAGTGGAAATTTGCAATCCAGAGCCATTCTCTCAGTCCTCTTAGTGCTACATTCCTCCGACCTCCTTCATAAAGACATTGCATGTGGTTGTGCTTGGAGCTGAAGCTCTTGAGTGGGCAGGGTCCTGCTGAGGAAATAAGATCTTTTCTGTGAAGAGTTAGTTCCCATCTCAAGATCTGGTGGTGCTGGGCTTTGGGCTGCATGACTGACGTGTGGGACCCGTTGGATGGAAGAGGAAGACAGTGGCAGCAAGCCCTCTTGCAACGTGTTTACAGGAAGGGTTTTTCTGCTGCGGTGTTTCTGCACCGTGGCTTTCTCCTCCACTCTAGCCTGAAGATCCTCTTGACGCGAGGAAGTTGGCAAGAATCTCAGTTCTGTGAATTGCTTTTCTATATTGTTCAAGGAGGAAACGAGGGAGAGATCAGAAGGCAAGTTGAAACGAGCTCCCGTCATCAAAACACACAGGCACAGACAGGTTCCCAGCCCAGTTCCTGACGCTGCAAACCACAGGGCGGCCGGGAGCTGCTTTCAGTGATCAACAGAGCTGGCACTTGCGCCTCTCTGAAATGCAGAAAATAGAAACTACAGAATCTCCACCTTAATGACCAGACTGGAGAGAAGACAGCGAGACGTAAGCCTGCAGGTAAACTCACAGGGCGGTACAGAGCTGACTGCGAGGCTGGCTTGCTGGGACTGTTATTGCAAAGGTCTTGGGTTGGGGGTGCAGGGCCAAGTTTTTTGCAAGATCTGTGATTTTCCAAAGGATATTTAAAGTGGATCAGAAGTTAAGGAAGGAGCTCTAATCTCTGTACAACAAAGCATCTTGGAGGTATCATTAGCGGTTGGAAGTTCATACCATATAAACATGTACTTTTGCCCTCTGGAATTACTCTTGGACCCCAAGAACAGTTTTCTCTGCTGCCCCTCAGCTCCCATGAAAGTTTGACATACAGGAGACCAATACCATCTGATTGAGGTCAGTGATCATACACCTTTTCTTTATTATACAGTTGTACAGATCTAGAGGCTGGTGCAAAGGAGGGTTTAGAATTTATTGGAAAGAGTTAACAGTTCAGCAGGTTCAGAGCTGATCATTTCTGACTCTATAATAGGCATGCTTGCATCTGTCATTCAGAGACACCAGCGGGGAACCCAACTAACACTGCTCTTTCCCTGGAGTCTAGATCTGGGAGTGGACGTAGTCCTGGCCTCTGCCCCAGAGAGTGCTGTCATGAGCTGGTTCAGGCGGGCTGCTGGTAGGGACCTCTAGATTTGACCGGGTGATCTTACGGGGCAATTGCTTGCACTCAGCTCCTGAGAAAATCAGGCCAGTTCTTTGGACCTCTAAATGTTTAGCCAGAGCCTCACTTTAAGTGTCATATGGAGTTCCCTAAAGCACTCTGTGCTATGCTGACTGCTTTTGGCGATGCCCATGTCAGATAATGTTGAGCCCAGCTTAGGGAATGGTTTTTGAAAGGCTCTTCTCGCCCTAGCACACAGCTGGGCTCACAGCACCGCAGTGCAAGCTCTAGCCTTACAGTAGAAGTGTCTGTAGAGTGCTGGGCAGCCCAAGAGCCCAGGATATAGGTTTGGGGCCTGATCCAGCTTCCCTGGAGGTCATGGCAAAGCTCCTGTTGATTTCAGTGGTATCTTTCTAATCTACCAGACAGTGAGATTCTGTGTGCAAGCAGAAGTTAATGGGGCTCATACAGGAGGAAGCTGGGGGTCTTCTTAAGGCACTGGTGTGTGGGGGAGCTCAGATTACACTCCTATAGTAACATCTGCTGCCCTGAAAACCTGTGACTCTGTGGCTGATTCATTTCCATTTGACTGAACATTGCATGTTCCTGCAATACTTTGTGCTGCCGTGTCTTGCAATATATAGCAAATGGGAGAGCAGAGTGCCAGGCAGCACATCTTGAGGAATAATGTCACTCCTGTTCATGTGTAATCAGAGGTTTTCCTTGCTATAAGGAGCCCTTGTGGCATCCTCTTGCCTGTCCAGCATTACCATGCTATTCAAAGGCAACAGAGCTCCTTAAAAACAGTCTCCTACACGTTCTTCTGGGCTCACGTGGATCTAGTGCTAACAGGGGAGAGCCAAGCTCTGCCTAATCCAGAACCAGTATCAGAGCATTGTTGCTAGCACCACTTGCTTCAGAGGGAAGCCTGGAAACCTGCCGTTACAATAATAGGATGATTGCCTCTGCATTAGTTTTCCCCATTATCTCTTAAAAAATTAGCAATCAGCACAAGGCCTGAAGGACGTGGTGTAACATCCCTTCCAAGACATGCTTGACCATTGGCTATCAGAGCACTGGCTAGTCCTGTTTGCGGAAACATCCAGCCCCATTTTGACTTGTAGTGAGGCCTTGTCCTCCAGGACTCGCTAGGGCAGGGAATTCCCCAGGTCTCTCTATCTGGAAAGGTGTTTGCTTTTGGTGGTTTTGGACTGTCTTTTCCTTGCTTGTCCCCTGACTGTGTTCTGAGATCTGGAAAACAGACACCCCCAATCTCCCTTCTACAGACCATTTGTTATGACTTTTGACATGTCCCTTGTTACTTTGTTAGGGAAATGTTTGCTGTTTTGTCTGAGTGAAGAATTATTCTTGTGTTTGCTTAGAAGCTGCTGTGCCTCCAGGCTGCAGAGAAGCAGCGTGTTCCTGGGAGATGAGTTATGCAGACATAACACATGTTATGTGCTGTATACCACTTCCGGCAGGAACTGTGCTATGAACTGTGGGACAGGCAGTGCAGTACACTGCACAGGTGCAGCAGCTGTGCTAAGGCAAGCTTTGATCAGCTGAGCAGCTGCAAAATCTCACAGGGAGGCTGGATGCAACACTGGACGCTGATCACATGAACTCTTGGGCTGGTTCAGATGGGACAAGTTTGGAAATGTAGCCAGGGGCATTCCAGCAATAAATCTCATGCAAAAAAATGAGGGGGCCTGAAGGGCTGGTTGTCATATACAGCAGCTCATCCAGATTTAGAGGAGATGTTTGTGAGAGGCTGAAACACAGCTGGGAGGCCAAACTAGAGCTTACGGTTCATGCTTGGAGATGGTGTTCTTATGATGCCTTGACCATCTCTGTAAGGGCACCAGGAAATAGGTCCCTGCCCCCTTGGGATCTGACTCATCATGGTGCAGTTAGGTCAGGGGCTCCTCACTGCTCCCTCTTTCCCCGCCCAGCCCCTCTCCAGAAATTTCAAGGTGCTTTGAGGTCCCAGTTTTCAGGCAACTCCTTGAAAATGTCACAACACCTCCCCAGTGAGTATCAGATTCTACTACAGAGATGGCAAAGCATGCTGCAAGACATGCACACGTTGCTGTGTGCACCACCTGGGCTGCAAGCTGAGGAGCTGAAGTGGCATGTGTCATGATCCATCAAGGTGAAATGGAGCATGGAAATGTAGCAAAGCAGTTCCAGCCCGGACCATGGGGCTTGGCCATCCCCCACTGGAGTCCAGGGGAAATCTCCCATTGTCCCATTGCTGGATGAGTCCTGAAGTTTATCAGTGTGAAAGTCTGGCCTAGGGGATAGGGTACCAGCCTAAGACTTACGAGACCTGGGCTCTTCCTTGCTCTGCCACAGATTTAGTGTGAGACCTTTGGCAAGACACTTAGGCTTCGTTTGTACTGCAGCTGGAGATAGGATTGTAACACAGGCAGGAATACCTGAGCTACCCTCACAGTAACAAATGTGTACTCAGACCCCCAACGTCACATTGACATGGACTTCTGCACTGACTGTTCAAACCCAACCAGGACACTGGGTACACAGGACTGCCAAAGTCCCTACCCTACGCATTCACTGCTCTTCATACCCAAGCTAGCTAGAGCCCCCCAGCTGTGGGTGTGTCCACATGGGCTGAAGGCCCATCTCCACCTACAGCCTTTGCCTCTCCGCATCTTCCTTCCCCATTTCTGATGTGCGCAACCAGCAGCTGCATCTCCTGTCTGTTCAAGGCCGGCGGGAGGAGCTGGGCGGTGGAAGAGCCCTGCTGCTCATCCATGCTTCCATCTGAGTGGTTCTCTGGAAGTTTAATTACTGAGTTAACACCAGGATTTTTAAAAGGTTGCAAGACAGAGGTGGGTGGATTCAGCTGACATTAGGGCTTTTGGAGTAAAGCTGCAGCATGGGAAGGAGACTGCTGCATTATTTGGCAGAGGGAGGAAGGAGGATCCGGCAGTGACAATGGGGTTGTTGTAAATTTGTTTCCTTGTTCCATGTCTTGCAGGCAGAAGGAAACAGGAACCGATCACAGGAAGCCGCTGCCCAGGAAAGGGATTCCTTTGCCCAGCATGGAGCCCGCTGGCACCCCCGAGGATGTGCATGTCCTGGTGGAATATGGGTTTCAGTACATGGATAAGGGTGGCTGCTTCATTTCCATAAAGCCCAACGAGAGGTACATCCTGCTGAAGAGAACCACTGACCACTGGTGGCACGTTAAAAAAAATAAGGACAGCAAGCCATTCTACATCCCAGCACAGTACGTGAAGGAGCTGCCTCCAATCACCCAACCCAAAAACTTCTATGACCATCCTGCTGAGGAGTCTGGAAAGCCCAGCTCTGGGCAGACGGAGGAGAGTGCTGTCCTGGAGCCCACCAGGGCCAGTCCAGAGCAGCCTTTGCAATATAAATACAAATTTGTGGGCACTGCTCAGCAAACCACGAATATAAATGAACCCAGTGGTCTCTCTGGCTCTGTATTTTTGGGGTCTGTGATGCCAGCTGGAAAAAATACCTCCTTGTTAGGGAAGACTCTGCCTCAAGTTGCTGAAGAGACAAAAGTTTCCCCCCCTGTGCTGAGTTCATTTCAAAGC